AATGACTTTTGTTTCTCCTGCCACCTGGCACCCTGAGCAGGCACTCTGATCACTCGCTTCACAGAAGCAACTGCAAATCATTAAGGACGTAGTTTTTAACTTGACCCACTGAATTAAAAGGAAACGCTGATGCATCCGCCGTGTACGGCATGACTGCTATGAGGTCTCCAGCAGTCCCCGTCCCTTCCCCGGGCCTCAGTTTCCCTAGCTGGACAAAGGGGAGTGGGATGTCATGGTGTGGGGACCCCTTCCTGTGCTGAGGGATGGCAAAGAGGACCAACCCGTGGGATGGCTCTGGTCACCCCATGCAGGCATGAACCTCCAGAACTTGGGCTCCGACAGAATCCTCAGCTGGAACTGTTCCAAGTGGGAACATACACTCTAGGCATGTATCCTACCAGCTGCAGATGCAGGGAGAAATTGGTGCAAGGGCGATGAAAGGCGTGTGACATTTCCTGTGGGCTCTGGGAGGGCGAGGGCTCCAGCCACATTATATACAGCATCTTGGATGGTGTCAGAGAGCCCAGACATTGACAGGGTAAGGGCTTGGGCTCTGGGGTGGGACTTCCCAGGTTCAAATCCTGGCTCTGCAGCTGACTAGCTATAGGCTCCTGGGCAATCCTTTCTTCTCTTCGGACCTCGGTTTCCTTATCTGTAAAAGGAGGAAACTAAGGTCCTAGGGGGTGAGGATTAAATGAGATAATGCACGCAAAAGTGTTCTGTAAATACCAGCACTTCCCCAATGCAGTGCCCCTTTTTAAGCCCCACCAGGGCCCTCTGCAGTGGACACATTTCCCAGGTGAGGGAATAGAGGCCCCGGGACAGGTTCAGTCCCTGTTCTTCCAGTGGCCCCTCAGAGATCTGAAGACTCCAAATCCATGTCTGCTTTGCCAGGTTATCCACCCAGCTCCTCGGCCCCCTGCCTGTGTGGCCACCTCCTGGGCAGGCTTCCTTTGTCCATCCCACAATTCGTGCCACAAAGCCCAGGGGCTGGTCAGACAAGCTGCGCCACCCCCAAGACAGCATGGAATCACCCAGGCTGCTTCTCCTGCCCCACGCTGGGCAGGGGGCTGCAACGGGGGGCTGGACCTGCCGGCTGTAAAGACTCCAGGGGGCAGTGAGTGGAGAACTCACCCCCTGGAGAACTGAGCGGGTAGAGAACTGCATCCAGCCAGCTCTGAAGGCAGGTGTTTCTGCTGGGTGGCAAGGGGGCTGTCAGCCTGATGGAAGCCACCGCACCACTGTTCGCTGCAGCTGGTGGTAAAACTGACTGGGCATCTGTCCCGGGGCTGGGATCAGCTCAGGCCATGTGTGTGGCTTGGGACTCTGGTGTTGGATGGGTGTGGGCAGGGGTTCTGGCTGAGGCCACCACCAGCCTCCTGGAGGCAGGGCAGGCAGGGAAGCCGAGGGCTCCAGGGGAGCTTGCGGTGTCTCTCATTCACCTGGCCACAGAATTCTGAGAAAAGAGAAGACTATCATTCCCAAGAAGCTAGGACCACCTCACACCCTGCAAGAGCTGTTTTCGCGACAACCGGGAAGGGATAATCAAGCCTTCCCGAAAGGCTGCACTGGCTGAGAAGGCCTACTTCTGCAGAGAATGCCAAAGCATCCCTTTGAGAACAGCCTCGTTTCACGAATGCAGTGCAGGACAGCACTCTGAAAGGCGGAAAGCACTTTTGCTTCATAGACTGAATCACAGAGGTAGTTCAGAGGCCTTCCCTTCTCCTAGCCTTTGACCAGCATGCTGGGATCCTGAAGGAATGAAGCTTGGAAGCAGCCCTGGAGAGGGCTGCAGGCCAACCTGCCACTGCAGGACAAAGCCCTCCCAATACCAATCCTGCCTCATTCAAGCTTCTGCTGGCAAATCTTGGTGAGAGGAAGCTCATTATACACTTTCAGGTGTACCTGAAATTCTTACCACTCACTGTGACCCTAAATCCCTATGACTCCTTCTTGGTGGGCCTACCTCTGCCCTTTGGGGGTCCCCACACCACACACCTTCGGAAACCTGAAAACACTGACCAGGTTACCTCGTGCAAGCTAAACAGGCAGAATCAAAATACAAGGGATGCAGGGACTTCCCTGGTAGTCCAGTGGTTAAGACTCTGTGCTTCCACTGCAGAGGGCACGGGTTCGATCCGTGGCTGGGGAACTAAGATCCCGCATGCTGCGCGGTGCAGCAAACAAACAAACAAACAAGAAACAAGGGATGGAAAGAGATGCTAACGATATTGCCCAATGGATTCTACCATGGCTACAGATCCTGCACCCCAGGCTCTCGGGGCCCATCACAGAGCTCCTGAGGGCCCAGAGAAACTGTGTGGGGCATTTCAAACAGGTATTGTGATAAGGAGGACGAGGCCCAGCCCAGCACTGCCTTGCTCCCTGACACCACCAATGATGTGCTAAAGCACGTGCCACACACACTACTGATTCAGATGGGAACACTATCCTTTGTTTCTGAGCAGCCATCCTTCTGGGTTTACAGATGGGACCACGGCAGCACTTTAGCAACCTAAGCAAACTGTTTCAACTCGTCCTTATTACCTGAGAGGTGGCTCATCCACCTCGTTCCACCTGCATTTTGGGGCTAGGAGACAGGAGGGTGCTCCTTGGCTGCAATGCCACACCTGACAGGCTCTGTCCACAGATGTGGGGAGGGATCTGGTCAAGACTAAAGGCTGGTGCTCACAGCATCCCTCCAGCCCAAGTGAAACAGCTTCCTTCTATGCCCCAGAAATCAGAACCGAGCCAAAAGCTTCTTGGGGAAAAGCACAATCGGTATCCACCCCAGAGCAAGACACACAATTGATGAGGTAAGTGACTTGATGAGACACAGGTGGGGACATGAGTCTGAGTCTACTTTCTATCAGCAGCCTAAGAAGTTGACCTATAATGACACTTGTGATAGCAACTCAGCAACATATAACCAAGTCCACAGTGGATACCTGTGGCTCAGAAACTTATCTGGAGACAGTTCTATCTAAGACCTTGTGATCCTTTGTGAAAAACTAAATGTATAGTAGTTTTAAAACTAGCTTTGGGCAGAAGTGGGCAAGTTCTGGCCTGAGAGGCTTCTGAAGAGATGATGTCCTGTAGGGTAAGGGCTTTTCACTTTAACATACCAGCGAATCACCTGGGGGTCTTTTAAAACAGATTGGCTCTGCAGGTCTGGGGTGGGGCCTGAGACCTTGCATTTCTCACCAGTTTCCAGGTGATGTGATGCTGCTGGTCCAGAGACCACATTTTGAGCAGCAAAGCACCAGACTAGACTAGAGCACCTAAGGTGACATGACCTGCAAGGTGGTCAGTCCAGGAGAGGGTGAGACGCCACACCGCCTGGAATGTCATCTCTTGCCATGGGCCCTTGGTGTCTAGGACAGTTGTCACATGAGCCCTTTAGCCCTTTAATCAAACTGGTATTTGTGAAGAGCCACCTCTGGGACATCATCGGCTCCGTTCTAGTTCCTCCCACACCCGGGAGGAGCACAGCCTCGTCAGCCATGCCAGCGGACAGGCCTTGGATTCCCTTGTGCTGAGGGCAGAGGAGGCTGTGAAATGCACGGGAGAGACCTGAGGTGACCAAGGACCTCAGCCACATGACTACTCTCGGCTCTGGCTCTTGGCTGGCATCACGGCCTGGCAGCCGGGCCCAGCACCTACAGCACTGAGTCTATATGGTGAGGGAAGTGCCCCACCAGAGTCATGTGCAGGAAGCTCAACAGGCTCAGAGAGGCAGCAAGGAAGCCCGTGGGACATGTGGCTGCGTACCAGGAGGGCTCACAGGGATGGCAAAGGAGGCACAGGACTTTTCCAGATAGGACACAGCAGGGAAGGGCACTTAGACAGAAGGCATGGGACTGCACAGTGTGCTACATCCAGGGAACTGTGAGTAGTCTGTGCTAGAACAGTCAGAACTTCGAGCAAGGGAATCAAGATGAGTGGAGGGCAGAGGCCTCACTTTGAGGGGCTAGGAAGGGAGGGAGGGTCTAGTTGTGCATGAAAATGGGAGATTCAAGGCAAAATGAATCTTAAATAAAAATAAAAACTCTCCCTTTCTGACCTTCAATGTGGTAAGAATTAAATTACAAACTCGATGTCTCTTTGTTTATATGCCTAAACTCTTAGAAGCATAAAAATGTTTTTGCATCTGACTTTTCCCCTCTTAACATTAAACATAAGCATTTCCCTAGGTTGTTATAAACTCTGTGTCAACATCACTTTGTAGTGGCTGCACAATATTCCATTTAACCGACCCCCATTGTTGGACATTCAGGTCATTCTCCATCTCTCATGATCATCATGCCTTTTCTGTGCTCTAGATCGTAACCTCAGCCTGGATCCTAAGGACTGGGTTTAGGATCAAAGGGTGTGTACATAGCTTAGGACAGGTGACACATGTGGCAGACTGCTTTCCATACGGCTGTGGGAGAGGAGAGGCACCTGAGTCATTCAAGGGGCTCTAGGCCAGGGGTGGGGTCAACTCCTGAGGTCAGGATGTGGCCACGGCCTGTGCTCTGTGGATGGGCTCGTGCTGAAGCTGGGGCAGGAAACGCAGCAGCCCTGGATGCATGCAGGCCTGTAGCAGCTGTATGACAGGATGGAGCCACTGGGCTCCACAAGGCCCAATAGGAGCCACTCTGCAGATTGATTTTCTTCTAGCTTCTAAGATTTCCTTCTGAAATCTGAAATCTTGGCTTCAGTGAACTAGAGCATTACCAGCAGGACCAAGACAGAGTCAGACAATGAGATCATCTGGGCTGTGTCTGGGGATGGGGGGAGGGACTGGAACGGAGACCCTGGAGGCCAGACCCAGGAGTTCCCCTAGGCCTGGCCTAAGGGACTTCCTCCAGGACGCTCCTCATCCTTGAAGGGCCCAGCTGTACTAGAAACCCTGTGGTTTACCTGAGCAGGCAGGGACCCGTGCACTTACTCCCTTTACAAAGGTGAGTGCCATGCGGGTCAGCGGCCGCCTCTGAGCAGGGCCACTGGCTCCTTACCTGCCAGAGCTGGGATGGTGACCCGGTTCCACTCCCATGGCTGGTCGTACTCATCAGCGGGCCTGTCGTCATCCTGGGGCAGCTTGCTCTCCCGGAGTCGGGGGTTGACCGTGCTCTCTGAGTCGGAGTCCATGCTTGGGCCCTCGGGTTCGTAAGGGGTATCGTATAATTGGATGCCTTTGTGCTGGGACCAGACGCTTTCTTGCCTCTGAAATTCTGCAGTCAAAAAGGAAGGAAGCAGAGATGTAAAGCATGCACAGCATGTGCTTCCTCACCTGGGACCCACCAGGTGACACCAAAGGAATTCAGAGCCGCCAGCCAGGGAGGTGGAGGCTGTATTTAACTTCTGTCCCACCCCTCGAGGGCGGGGTCTCTGCTCTCACTGCTCAAGGCTTCCTCACAGAGATCTCAGGCTCTGGACCAAACAGAAAGAGAAGCCTCCCTGCCACCGCCTGCAGTCTTCAAGGGCACGGCCCAGAAGTGAGCATGACGTTCCAGACGTGTTCTGACACCAGCCCAGGACAGGCAGAGAGCTCTCAGCCCCATGGCTTACCGAGGCGGGGGTGGTCTTCCCACTAGGGCAACTCCCTGGTCTCTGGACTTGTCACTCCCTAGCTATAAAATGAGAAGATTGGGCCAAATGACCCTCAAGTTTTCACCCAGCTCACATATTCATTTTAAAGACCTGAGAAGCCAAGAACCACCCCCAGGGGACGCAGGGTCACTGATTTTTCCCCTACAAAGCCCCAGGAGTGACCCTTTTCCTGAATTTCTACCTCCCCCAGGGCCTGCCTATCTTCTAACACACTGAATACAGCCAAGAAACTTGAGAGCAGATGTCCAGTTTCACTTCTGAATAAGGAAGGAAAGCTCTTAATCTTCTGGAGAGGATGCCAAGGCCTGGCTCCAGTGTGGGCTGAGGGGCGACCGCCCATCTAGATGAGGCCCCAGACAGGGCATGTTCCTTTCAGCTGCTGCTTATTCCTGAGAGGCCAGCAGTGGCTGAATGATGGATTCCAGGATGATGCTACGATCAGGTGCTTCCTCCTCACACAGGGGCACTTTTCTTGCTTTGATCATAAACACCCACTGTGCACAGGGCCAACGTGAGGACAGGGGGAAAGGAGAGGGTTTGCTGTTGAGGCTGCTCTCGGCAAGCCCACTGTTTCCAGAAGAGATGCAACGGGCACCTAAATCACCATAATACTCTGCAGCAAAGGGGCTCCTGCAGGGCCTGGGAGGGATGAGACAGGAGGAGAGATGACATTTGAACTGACAGCTCTGACAAGTGGAAACAGGAGAGGGGCAGGATTCCCTGTGGTAGGACCAGGGCAAGCCAAGGCAGTGCAGCTGGAGAGAACGTGCTCACTGCCCACTTTCTTGTTTTATTTGTAAAATGTATATAACATTCGCCATTATACCATATTTAAGTGCACAAGTCAGTGGCATTAAGTATACGCACACTGTTGTGTAACCATCACCACCATCCATCTCACAAACTTTATCTTCATCCTAAACTGAAACTGTCCCCCACTAAGTCCCCATTTCTCCTTCCCCAGCCCCTGGCAACCACCCTTCCACTCTCTGTCTCTATGAATTTGACTACCTAGGTACCTCATATAAGTGGAATCATATGGTATTTGGCCTTCTGTGACAGTCTTATTTCACTTAGCATAATGTTTTTAAGGTTCTTCCATGTTATAGCGTGTGTCAGAAGTTCATTTCTTTTTAAGGCTGAATAATATTCCACCGTGTGTCTATTCACTGTCTACTTTTCCTGGAGCACCAGGTCCAAGGAGGTGGGAGAGGGGCGGTGGGGCTTGATAAAAAAAGCACTGAGGGTGGTGAGAGTGAGCTATTTAAGTGGAGTCTCGAGGCATTCTCCAAATCAGAGTTCCAGTGCCATAAAGATATAGTAGAAACCCACAGGAGTCATGTGCCTTGAAGAGCAGTTGACAAAACACATGAATGACGTCAGCCTTTCCGAGAAACAGCATTCTTTTAGACTGGGCTTCACGATCCAAGGCCAGCTCATAGGGTCGACAAAAAATCCACCTCTGCGCACAGGCCCTGATACAACAGAAACTAACTAATGCTGGGTAGTGACCTTTAGTGATGACATTAAATAGCGCTGTGGTAGTATCTCCCAAACTTCACTGAGTTACATACCGACTTCGTGATTTTGCTGTTTTCAAGTACCACCTGGCTTATCATTTACCATTGTTATTGATGTCGCCTCACTTTTTAGAGTAAATAAATTCACTTAAAAAGGAAACTTTTAATCACCATCCCATAAGCCATTATCCTTACCAAAAACAGATGATAAACGTAAAAAGAATGAACAAGAACAAAACCAACTAGGTGGGTACCACTGCCGGGAGGCAAGCCCAAGGCTCACTTTCTCTCTGCTGAAAAGGAAGATGGCAAGTACTGGTGGGGGCAGGCGGGAGGTCTAAGCAGCAAACCAAGATACTTTCTTTGGCAAACAAGAATAACCTTCTCTTTTTAGAAAGAAAGTAAATGAAAAGGGAAAAACCTCACCATGTGGTTCTCAGGCTGCCTAAAATCATGTCTCCTCTGAGAAGATGTCCCTTACTTTGGCAAAACACGGCTTTATTGGGTCCCATGAGTAAACTGGGATGATTTATTAGTTTTGAGGATGATGCTTTCCTTTTTATGGGGGAGTAAGAGGAGAAGAGAAGAGCTATAAAAGGCAGGACTTGGTCATTTTAAGGCGAAGACCAACTGTAAAGTACTGGAGACAACTCTGTAAATTACAAAATCTACCAAAGTGCTTGCTTGGTGGGGTCATCATCAGCTGCATCACTGCCGCCCCTGGTTCTACGGAGTGCAGTCTAGCTTCCTGTCTTTGGAGAATTCCAAGGGATGGGGACATTGGGAATGCAGCTGACAGGCACTGACATAGGAAAACCACCTTCCACTTCATCCTCTTTCACAAGCAGGACCAGCAACCACTGACATGTACTCTAGCACTTTGCATGCAAATCGTCATTTAATCCTGGGCCACAAAGCAACTTGTGGATGCACTTCTGTGGGCCCCCAATAATCACGAACATCCTTGCTTTCTCTCTCTCTCTCTCTCTCTCTCTCTCTGGGTGGGATAAATGAATGACAACCGACAGCCAGAAACCCCTCTTTACCCCCAAATTCCAATTTATGAAAGTCTCTGACTGCAGTGATAAGGTACCTAGAACAATATGAAAAATGCATATAGCCCAGTATTACACAATATTCAGAAGAGATGGATAGTCTACATAAACACTAGCTTAAAAGGAAAACGTGCAGGGAACAGATTAGCTATTAAATCAGAGGGACTTGGGAATACACCTCTCAGACAGGATTTATTGTCCCAAAAGCATCTGCACCTTACCAAAGCTGGGTTAGTAATGGCATGCAGTGAGGGTAGGGGATGTTATGATGGTAATCATTAAAACAAGCTTCCCCCCATTACATGGTGAATTCAAATTTTCATTAAGCCCTCAACAATAGGGAGCAGTTAAGTAAATTACGGTGTGCTAACTGGATGGAATATTAAACAGCCATTAAAATGATAAATCTGAAGATTATGTAGCTACATGGAATAGCGTGCATGAAATTATGCTGAGTTAAAAAGTGAAATACAAGACTGTTTATGTGTTGAGCAAACCGTATAATGTGGGCTTTCTAAACAAGTCCTGGGCAATGTGAACAATGCCCCAGAGGAATTCTATTCCTTGCTTAGGAACTGCTGGACACCGTCAGGTGTATGGTCAAAGGAACACTTTGACCATAATATCTAAACTCTGATGACAGCAATGTTGTAAGTACAGATACATATGAATAAAGGACAGAAAACCTGATACAGGAAGATAAACAGCTACTGTGTATAGAGGGAGGAATTATTGCATAATAATTTTTCAAAGTTGTTTTAAATAATGAATAAGTATGTTAGTAAAGAAACAATGTAGTTAAGAGTGGATCACATGAAAGTAAATACGATTTTAAGTTGGGCTTATAGGAGCCGTGTGTTTCGGAAGCAGCTGCCTTTGCCTGAGAAAACACCCATTTAAGGGAACATCTCCTCTCCCAGGAGACGTTTGCCAAGAGCCCCAGGAAGTCAAGGGCAGTTGCGCCAGGCCAGCTCACCAGACATCACTGTCCCCTGCCTAATGACCAGGCCCGTCCTCCTTATTACCCAAACCGATCTGGGACGGTCCAGAGACTGACCTAATAGGGGAGCTGGTAACTGTATGTTTTAAGTCACAAGTTATCTGGACATCACCATCTATAAATTCATGGAAAATGACCTTTAATATTGGGTGGCAGGCTGTGATTTTATGCCTCTTAGGCAGGGAGCAGGAACATTAAATTGATAGGGTAGGGATTTCTGTCGACTTCTGAAGTAGAAAGGTTTTCAAGTAGAACTATATATGGAGGAAAAAAAAAATGAGAGCACTTTGTTTTAGAATCGGAGAATGTTGGAACTGGAAGGGGCCCTGGGCATATTCACCAAGGGCACGGAGACAGGAGGGTGAGGCTGGTGTGCTGACCAAGGGCTGTGGCCCTGAGAGGCAAGGAGAGCCAAGGGTATCATCTGAGTGAGGGGCTCAGGACAGAGCTTGGTGCAAACCAGGGGCCTCCTGAGTGGCTCTAAGTGTTTTGAGTTCCCCAAGTCCATTGGCAACAAGCTACGCTTTGCTCTGGTGTTCACCAACTCCATGCCTCCCCCTCACAGTTTTTTGTTTGTGTGTTTTTGTTTTGTTTATTTCCTTTGGCTGTCAGGAAGCTCAGGGTTAATTTTGATGCTTAACCTCAATAGCTAGGATAGCTTAGATATTGGGTCGAATCATTTTCACTTGCCCTTCCTTCTATGTGGATCTTGATATCTATTATAACAGCCTCATTATATACATTTCTTTTTATTATGCATAGCCTCAGGTCAGTATTCTGAAAGCAGGCGGACACACATCTAATGAAAAAGACTAGAAGAAAAAAAAAACCTCTTCTTTACCTCTTTACCTTCCTTTCAGGAACAGAGAAAGGAGGGCAGGGCTCGGCCTCACCTCTGGGAAACAGGCCGAGGAAATCAATGTACTCGCTGGTGCACCCAGCCTTCTCTGGGAGCGCCAGCATCCACCTGTCCTTACATCCCACTAGGCATCTACTGAATGCCCAGCACGAGAGGAGATGGAGATGAAGCAGACACAGTCCTGGTC